CATTTCTAAGGCATATATTTTGAATAGCTTAAACCTATTTTATTTTTCCTATCCACAGAAAACTGTCAAGATTGGGGAAGAAAAGTCAGAATGAGCAATGTACTAAGTTGCAGACAGATGAGTGATTACTAGTATATTGTTGTTTATTACTCACTGCAGGTTCTTATTTCTCTATTAATTATGGAGCAGTACCTGGTTTTCAATTTTTTTAAAATTTTTATTTTTTGTGTACAGAGGGGTTACAATTACATGGGCAAGATAATGAGTACATTTCTTATCAAGCATTGCATTGGAGCCTCCTCCGTTGTTTACCCTTCACATCCCTTCCCAGCCTCCCCCCCCCCCCCGTTTTCATTTTTTTTACACATTTCAGACTTTCCACTTTTTCAACATTCTCATGGCTGAATAATGCTCACAATGGTTTCGTTGTATATTTGGCAATTTACCATTTGCATTACTTCATATAGGCCCTACAGATCTTCACTAGACAGATAAAGCAGGTGGTCTAATCTCCATTAAAAGATTTGGAGCACTGGAAATAATGAGGTTAACTCTCCTTCCTGAAACCACACATCTGGTTTCCAGCACTAGAAGACTATAACTAGTTAACTCCTTTCTCCTTTTGAAAGCCTCTTCTAAATAACAGTGTGACATATTGGACTATCTAGGGATTCTGCCTGGCTCGCTACACTCAGAACTAACTGATGAGCTAGTGATTTTCCAGTTTGAAGTGCTAGCATGGCTTTTGCCCCAGGCTCTAAACTCAGCACACCTGCTTACCTGGTTTATGCACAGGCAAATCTCATCGGCCTGTAGACTCAGCATATCCCCAACTAACATCAATTTTCTAGTCCCTCCCCTAAACTTCCTAGCCCTGGAGTACATTATTGTGATAAGTGTCACCACCTAACTCACAATTGCTTAATCTTGGGACTTCATTTATTTCCAAATTACATATGCCACATGTGTCTAGGAGTAGGACACACTAGGTCTTCACAGCCCTTTGACTAGGCTCCACACCACCATTCCTGACCCCTGTATTCAGTGGCCTTTGTAAAATTCACATAGGATTAATTGCTTCTCCAAGATCGTGAGTGGCTTTTTTTCTTTTTTAATGTTCTGGTACAAGGGCTTGAGATAATGGCCACGTGCTCTCTCTTGACTTTCTTGCTTATGGCTGGCACTCTACCACTGGAACCACACTCCAGTCTGGTATTTTGTTGGTTTATTGGTGAAGGAGTCTCCCAAACTTTTCTTCCCATGCTGGCTTTGAATTGTGATCATACAGGTAGGTCTCAGCCTGCTAAGTAAAATGACTTTTCTATACATTGTGATAGTTTTTAAGGCCTCACAAAGCTGTGCCTGCATTTCTAACATCTCTCACCACTCCCTCTTTCTCAGTATCCAGAAGCTATTTTAGTTTCTAGAGAAAATTCCTTTTGCCTCCAAGCATTTAAATAAATTACTCTTTATTCTTCCTTCAAACTTCAGCTTAGACATATATTTTCTCAGAAACTTCCTTTGCCAGAGTACCTTACCTGTGCCCTGGATTGATTCTTTTCCTTCTGTAGACCATATTTGTCAAGAGGGCAGAGGGCATGCCTCTCTTGTTTGCCATTGTACCCCATCTCTGTATCATATTTAAACTATTTAGGTGACAATTTTGTTAAATGAATAAACATATTCTAGATTTCTCATGTTTATTTCTCTGTACTGTACCCAGTATTTTCTTGCTGGTTTTAGTTTGTGTGAGTGCATGTGAGTGTGTGTGTGTGCGTGTGTGTGTACACTCAGGGCCTATCACTCTTGCTCAGTTGTATTTCTTGCTTATGGCTAGCACTCTACCACTAGAGCCATGCTTCAGCCCAGCATTTTACTTGTTATTTGGAAATAGAATCTCTGAGTTTTCTGTCTAGACTGGCTTCAAATTGAGATCTTTTGGTTCTTATTCTAAGTAAATATGCTGACAGGCATGAGCTACTGGTGCCTGCTCTAGTTTAAAAAAAAAAAAATTGTTATTTTGGGGCTGGGAAGGTGGCTCAGTGGTAGAGCGCTTGCCTTGCATGCATGAGGCCCTGGGTTCGATTCCTCAGCACCACATAAGCAAAAAGAAAAAAGCCGAAAGTGGTGCTGTGGCTCAAGTAGTAGAGCACTAGCCTTAAGCTGAAGAGCTGAGGGACAGAGCCCAGGCCCAGAGTTCAGGTCCCATGACCGGACCCCCCCAAAAAAATTTTTGTTATTTATTGTAAAGGTAATAAACTGGGGTGGGAGGGAGTTACAGTTACCTAAATAGGGTAATGAGTACATTTCTTTTTGAATAGTTACCCTCTCCTTTATCTTCTCTCCTTTTCTCTCCCCACTGTGCCCCCCCCCAAGTGGTAAAGTTCATTTCCAACATAGTGTCAGTGAGTATCATTGTTGTATTAGTTCATCCTTTGCTGTTTCTGTGATTCCCTATCCCTTCCACAGAGCAGATAAAGGGCACAGAAAACTAAAAACAACAACAACAAAACAGAAATAAAGGCAAACAATATAATATGAACCTTTTGTTTCCAGTTCGTGGAGTCCATTTTGATATGCTTCATTATATTTAGTTTTAAATGTCCAGTTTCTACTCATTCTAAGATATCTATATTATATAAATATCCCTGAAATTTATCCTTTTTTCTCTCCACATATATATTAAAAAGCTATACAAAAATCATTTATAGGATGCCATTTGCTTTACTGTAAATCTGGTGATTTAGGGAGTAAACTTAGCAAGTATTAGTAACAAACATTTTGTAAATAATTCTTAGGTGCCAACCCCTGTACTAAATATTTTCAGTAAATTTTTTGCCTTCTTAACAGCAATTCTATAAGTTAGCTAGGTACTACTATATTGTCTACTTGCATAGATGAAAAAACAGACACAGAGGTGAAATAATGTGCTCTGAAATAGAAGTAAGTAGTAGAATTGGATTTCAAAAGTTCAGGTGATAGATTTGATGTCAGCTCAAGAAAAATGGCTATAAGAAAAGTCTTTTTATTGTGAGTTTTAGAGGTAATAAAATGAGGTAAATCTAGATTTGTGTGTAGGAAGAATTAAATGAGATAATATCCATAAAATGACACCAAACTCTGGTACATTATAGGCTCCTGAAAATTGATTATTCTCTAATTGATGTTTTTGTTCCAAGTCTTCTAGCCTACTTCACTGAACATTAGAATTGTGGAGGGCTTGCTACAGTAAAGAGTACATTGGATCAAGAGCTAATTGTTTATATAGCTACAAAAAGCCAGGCACTGTTTGCTTTAGCTGTTTAGGAGGCTGAGATATGAGGATTGAGTTTCAGAGCCAGCTGGGGAGGAAAATCTGTGAGACAGTTACCTCCAGTGTACCACAAAAAAGCCAGGAATAGAGTTGTACTCAGCCTTACCAGACTTGAGTGGAAAAAGCTCTAGGATAGCTAGCCCTTAGTTCCAGCCTCAGTACTGGCACCAAAAACAAAACAAAAATCATGTGAATTAAAAAAAAAACAAAATTAGTTATTACTTAGGTAGTTAATTTTTAGATGAAATATTTGAAAACATAGGGTCTACAATGCAGAAATTATTTTTTCAAAAGTGATTGACGACAATGATGGCGACAATGTTTTGAACCAATATCATGTATCTCAAAGAAAACATTTTAGTACTTTTTTGTTATGTTATTATAAGAACTGTTGGGTTGTTTTTTGTTTTTTTTTTGTAACCCTCTGTTACAAATATCGTTTATCAAACAAAGGAAAGAACAATGTGTTTGCTTCGTGTGTGGTCCTGGGGCTTGAACTCAGGGCTTGGGCACTGTACTTGAGCTTTTGTGCTCAAGACTAGTATTCTGCCTACTTCTGGTTTTTTGGTGTTTAATTGGACATAAGACATTCATGGATTTTCCTGCCCAGTCTGGCTTCAAACCCCAATCCTCAGATTTAAGTCTCTGGAGTAGCAAACATATATATATATATATGTGAACCAACAGCACTTGGTGAAATACATGTTTATAGTTAATTAATAGTTAATATGTTTCTGTGAGTTTTTTTAGTAGCTTTTCTTACAAAATCATTAGAGTTGTTTGTTGTTTTAAATTTCAAATGGAGAAATAAATAGTCAAAAGAAATTTGACATTAGTAATAGGTAGATTAACTCAAATATATGTGAAATATAAAACAAATAATTTACGTTGGAAGTGTCTCTAACTGGAGTGCTAGCCTTGAGCAAAAGCGCTCAGGGACAGCACCCAGACCCTAAGTTCAGACCTCACAACTGAAAAAAACAAAAAACTAAGTTGAAGTCTTAAGGAATAGAGTTCTCCAAATAGGGTAGACCTTATATAATACAAGAATTTAGTGGGTTTTGCTATTCTTAGTAGTCATTAGATGCTAAAGGCATGTCTTACCTGGTTTATTTCATTTGTTCCTCACAAGCAACTCTGACAGATAATTTCCCTTACTATTTTTTCTTTTGAGGAAAGATGGGAATTACTACATTTTTCATCCTTTTCATTTATGTTTTTACTGAAGTTACAACTGGAGTAAATAATGTATTTGTGTCATAAAATGAAAGACTGAAATAAGATTTATATTTATATTTGGGTAATGAGAGTAAGGTGGAACTTTTGCTTTCAGTTTGTTTGTTGTTTTTATTGGTTTTATACCAGTACTGGAGCTTGACCTCAGGACCTGGGCACTGTCCCTAAGCTGTTTTTGCTCAAGGCTAGTGCTCTGCCACTTGAGCCACAGCTTCACTCCCAGCTTTGGTGGAAGGTGCCCGGTGTGGCTCCAAACTGATCCTCAGATCTCAGCCTCCTGAGTCGCTAGGATTACAGACAAGAGCCCACCAACACCTAGCTTTTGCTTTGTATTTTGAGTTTTTGATAACACAGCGTTGTTGTTATTCTTTAGTTGTTATTCTTTATTTGTTATTCTTTGTTTGTCTTTTTATAAGCTATAAATATAAAGGACTCATTCTTTAACACACAGGATGGATTTCCAGATTTCCCAGATTCTGTGCAAACACTCTTCCAGCAGGCCAGAACTAAAAGTGAAGAATTTGCAGCTCTTAGTTCTCAGGTAAGAGAAACTTCTCGTTATTATAGCAGAATGTCTAAGTTGCTGCTTCAGCCAGTCTGTTTTAGGTTTATTAGGACTGAATTTATTTCTGGTTGTTTTAAATTGTCATCTGATCCACAGCTGTATCCACAAGATAATTTGATTTGGCTTTTGAACAATCTGAAATGGCTCTGTTTGTTTATTCTGTGTAGTTTTATAGGAAATGAGACAGATTCTCTATTCAAGAAAACTGAAAAGTAGCAATTTAGTATCCTGAAGACAGCTGTGTTGACCACTGTATATAATACAATTCTGAGATAAAGTAGCCTTAGTTTTAAATATTAATAATTATTGCTATAACTGTTGACTCATTTAAATTCCTGTATCCTGAAAAACTGGCAAAATACAACTTCAGGTAATTTGTTATGTAATTATATATGTTCATAGATATAAACATTTAAAAGTCCTTTCTACAATAATCTTTTTAAAGCACTGCAAGTTTTATTTCTATTGTTTCTCCCATTGACTTGCTTTAGTTTCAGTACTGACAAGTTTTGCTTATTCATATTAAGAGGATGCAAAAATCTATTTTTCTCCCTCAGAAATTTTTATTGAAATGTTATTAGTTAGCAAGAAGTTCAAATGAAATTATTTGGTTTATGTGCATTTAGAAAAATAACATGAGCATTTCTCCTATTAGTCACTGAGTTAGTATATTTTTCACTTGTTGATTTTTTAATATTGCAAATCATGACTGTTTGCAACCAATTTTATATAGCAGCTTTCTTACACTCTTATAAAATATGGTAGTGATTTGTATTTGTACATTATTATCTTCATGGCAAAGTATCATAGATATGTTGCCTTGAATATCATGTACAAGTAATTTGGAGAAATATGTAGAAAAGGGGTGTGGCAAAGATAAATTTATGTATCAGTTCACTAATTTTGTGTTATATAATTGGTTGGAAAATACTACAGTTCCATGCCATTTCAAGATCCTCATTGGTATTGATGTTTTTCTGCATAATTATCATTGTTTAATTTTAGTGGGAGGCGTGTTTGTCTTATTCAGACAGCCATTTTACACCTATTCTTCTCTAAACATACTGTCCCCATATTAGAGTCTGTGTAGTGCCAGATGCTAAAATAAAAATGCCAAGTTTTCACCCTGTGTGTTAGAAGAAGTTGATAGCAGATGTTGCTGTTGATCTTAAGTTCCTTTTAAGAAAATCCTTTAATCAGTACCTTAAAAAAATAAAACTGGGGTGTATTGCTTTTAAGTTTGGATGGAATTCTTTTATAGATTGACAAGAAACCTTTCTTTTTCTTTTGTACGACATCAAACATTTTGTGTTTAACATGATACAGACATTTGTTCCTATTTATGGAAACAAGTGTGCCATATGAAGTGTGAACTAATTTTAATGAATACTAAATATATTTGCTGGAGTCTGAAATTGGCATCTTTAAGCCATTAAAAAATCTAGGATGTTTTAGATACTGATTTTATTTTTTGCTTTACTTACTAGCAGTCTGAAAAGGTGGTGGCAAAACAGATGGAGTTCCTCTGTGCCCAAGCTGGCTATGAGAGACTACAGCATGCTGAGAGAAGACTGTCCACAGGGCTTTACAGACAAAGCTCAGAAGAGCACAGCCCTAATGGTTTGCCTTCTGACAATTCAGATGGACAGGGTATGTCTTCTGAAGGACTTTTGCCTTCAGAGCCATCATGATGTACTCTTCAGAGAGAAATTGAAAAAATAATGGTTTTTAATCTTGATGTTTTTTAGAGATTTTTATAAGTTCCCTATGAAAATTATCTTTTTCTCAAGAATAAATTTAACTTACATATTTAAATTTATAAAATTTTTGAACTTTATTATTGCTGTACACTGTTGGTACATGTATAACATGTACTTTGTAATGGGTTGATATAGATAGTAGATGTGAACATTTCAGGTCATTTTTCCCAGAGAAGCAAACCATCAGATATTTCTTCTTTTTTTTCCTCTAGGTGGTATTAGGAATTGATGGGCCTTGCCCATGCTAGGCTAGCACTCTACCAACTTGCTATACCTTCAGTTCTCATTCTTTTTTAAAAAGATAACCTACTTCTTTAGTCTTCAAAAACAGATTATCAGAAACTTAAAACATGTTTCTTAAAGAATTTGGTAGTTGCAGTGGGTGCCAGTGGCTCACGCCTGTAATCTTAGTACTCAGGAGGCTGAATTCTGAGGATCACGGTTCAAAGCCAGCCCAGGCTGGAAAGTCTGTGAGACTCTTATCTCCAATTAATCACAAGAAAACCAGAAGTGGCATTGTGGCTCTAGCAGTAGAGCGCTCACCTTGAGCTGAAGAGCTCAAGGACAGTGCACAGGCCCAGAGTTCAAGCCCCACAACTGACATAAAGAAAAAAAAAAAAGAATAGGGTAGTTGCTTCTAAAGTATTATGACAGAACAACTTCCAATGTTAAAAAGCTATCTGACTCATGAATATTTTTATCATTCTGAAAATTCTTTTAATTTTATTTCATGTTGTCACATGAAGAAAAGACAGTTTTTGGTGCTCATTCAACATATTTTTTTTAAAGTATTGCCTATGTGCCAGGCATACTTCTGAGAATGGAATATACAGCAGTGAACAGATCAAACCAATGCCCATTTGGAGCTTACACTCCTAGTGGAATAGCAAGAAATGATTTGCATTTTCTTCTAAATTATTATTTAATTTTTTTTTTTCCTACTACCTAAATTCTTCTGTGCTGTTGACTTTCTTCACTTTTTACCTAAGGCATGTTAAGGAAATTTTATGAAAATTTATTGTAAGGAGAGAAATATGGTGTGTTTTAAATATTATTTATATATTTTTCTTCTCAGCAGAACGACCGTTGAATCTCCGAATACCTAGTTTACAGAATAGACAACCCCATCATTTTATGGTGGATGGAGAGCTGAGTAGACTTTACTCCAACGAGGCAAAGTCCCACTCATCAGGTGAGAATGTGGAGAATACTGAGTTAATGGAGTTAATAAGAATATTGAGAAACACTTAGGTAATGGGTTTAAATTCCATTCTGCTACTTACCCTCGTACCATTATGCACGTGTTAATAATTAAGTTCCTTTTGGAAATTATAGATTGCAATACTATTAGCTAGTCTTTTTTGAGAACATAGTATTTGAAGATAGGAAAAACTCACAAAGGTTGAGACTGGATAAATTTAAACTGATTAACAAATGTGTGATTTGAGTTTAGCTAGGTTATCCATTTCTGATAGTATATACGAAAACGATAGGCTATGTTTTTGTTATCACGATAAGAGACCTTTGTGCTAGGAACTATGGCTCAAGCTTGAGAGAAATCGAAGATCTCACTTTATGACCTTCCTTGGCAAAAAAAAAATTCACAAGACTCTGTCTCAATCAATGGTTGTTCACAATGGTTTGTGCTTATTATTCCAGCTATGGGAGAAGCACAGTGTCTGGGCACAGTGGTATGTATTTGTCATCACTAGGGAGTCACAGGCAGAAAGACTGTAGCTCAGGCCGGCCCAGGCATAGAGCAAGACCCTACCTCAGAAATAACTAATGGAAACATGGAAACATGGCTTGTAGCAAACTTAAGGCTAAGTTTAATCTTGAGTCTTTTAAAGAAGAAAAGAAGCTGTTGAGTACCAAAATCTAAACTTTGCATGGCTATACATTTGGAGATAATATTTGTAAGCAGAATTCTATGAATGGATAAGCATTTTGTAGTTAAGGTTCATATATTTTTACTCAAGAAAAGAGAGTTAGATTAAATAATAGAGATGAGCACCATTCTAAAGGATCTATTATTACTGGATCTTTGAGTTGAAGGAACCTTAAGAATCAGTGTCGCTGGTTTTATAGATGAAGCCAGATAAAATAAACTAAAATTGTATAAGACTGGAGTCCTAAATAATACTACTCTGGGCTGTGACTTTAGCCTGCTCTTTCATACTGATTTTACAGCTGTTTCACAACTGAAAGGTTAAGAAACAGAAATTAGCCTAAAATGATAATAACATGCTGGTCTCTTTTTTTCACAACATGAAAAACTTATTTAAAAATTTTAAAGAACAAAACTAAAATGGTTTCTACCAATTTACTTTGAAATACTACATCTATATAGATCATTTATCTCATCATGGGAAGATATACTTTTGAATCTATCCCAGACATATAGTTGAACTAGGGTGTTATAAAGACCAGAACAAAGAAATCTCTATAAACGAAAGCCTTTTCCTATTTTTCTTTGAAATTGAGTAGAAATAATAAACTTCCAGACTGTGAAAACCTGGCACTAGATCTCAACACTAATATTTGATTGTGAAATCTGAATTACAGAATTATCCTGTCCCTCAGTTGCTCATCTGTAAATGGAAATAATTATTAAAATTAAACATGACAGTGCATATGAATTGTATGGTTTCAGCAATTCAAGAAATATAGTAGTTATTTGTATTACTTTCTGTGCAATTTAAAATCACTTTGTGAAAAATCTGTAACCCATTTTATACCTCTAATTTCAGTTACTCCCTGGAATTTCTTATGAAAGTAGAGAATTGTTTCATCCTTAGTTTCCCTATGTCATGGCTAGACTTTTAGAAATGGTTCCATATTTAAACACTGAAGTTGTTTTTCTTTTCATTTCTTTTTTTTTTTTTTGGGTCCGGTCGTGGGGCCTGAACTCTGGGCCTGGGCGCTGTCCCTCAGTTCTTCAGCTCAAGGCTAGCGCTCTACCACTTGAGCCACAGCGCCACTTCCGGCTTTTTTCTTTTTGCTTATGTGGTGCTGAAGAATCGAACCCAGGGTCTCAGGCATGCAAGGCAAGCGCTCTACCACTGAGCCACCTTCCCAGCCCTCTTTTCATTTCTTTTTGATAGTTGTATTTGAATGATAATTTTATATGCTATTTTTATTTTACATGCTTATAATGATCAAGCATAAAAACCATGATATGCTCTAATGCTTTATGTACATTTCATCATTTATTTCTCATGCCATTTTATATGGATACTATCTTTGTTGTATAGATGAAGACACCAAGGTGTATAAGTTATACACTTGTATAACTTATAACTAAGGTATAACTTATACACTTAGGTGTATAGGTTGCCCAGAGACAAGCAATGCAGTTCATAATTGACTTCATTGGAATTTAGAGCCACAATCCAAGCTTGTAATCAAACTTTATAAAGAAAACTTTATTTATTTATTATTTATTTTTTTATTTTTTTGGTCAGTTGTGGGGCTTGAACTCTGGGCTTGGGTACTGTCCCTGTACTCTTCAGCTCAAGGTGAGCACTCTACTGCTTGAGCCAAAGCACCACTTCTGGTTTCCTAGTGTTTTTTATTGGAGATAAGAGTCTCATGGACTTTCTTGCCTGGGCTGGCTTTGAACTGCGATCCTCAGATCTCAGCCTCCTTAGTAGCTAGGATTACAGGCATTAGCCACAGTGCCTGGCATACAAAGAAAACTTTATATGAAATTGCACAATTATAATCAATACTCTTTGCTAAAGAGTTTGGGAATTTGATTTTTTTTTTTCATACAGAGAGCCTTGGGATTTTAAAAGACTATCCTCACTCTGCTTTTCCATTGGAAAAGAAAGTCATCAAAACAGAACCTGAGGATTCAAGATAGCTGTGATTCATTCAGTCCTCCAACTGTTCTCTGGAAATGGCATCAGATTTAAGGATAATGCTCCATCATAGAAATAAGCCTTAATAACCAATGTTGCCTCATTCAGCTCAAACAGATCTCATAGCCAAAGCATAAGGACTCATACAGTAGTCTGTGGAAACCAGGAAGAAAAACAACCACAAAAGAAAAAATCAAGAGAGTGTTGCAATCTGTAATAAATATCGATCCATTCACATTCCTATGTAAGTCAGTTTATGTGGACCAGCTTACAAATTAATATTGTAAGCATTAATTATTTAAGAATGTACAATGTATTGTGTAATTTATAGAAAAATCTAGATGTTGAGGCCTGTTTGGTCTAGTAGATATGGATACAGTTAATTTTACTTGAAATTTTATTGTCTACTTTTAAGTGTATTTAGCGTAAATATTATACGTCAGATTTTAGAACCTTTACAGTTATATGAAAGAAAGCTTGGGTGATGTAGCTATTGGTGAGGTTGAAATGGCTATAGGAAAATGAAAAACAAATACGTAATTTAAGCCAAGGAAAATATTGTATATTTAATACTTGATAAAGCAGATTTTGTTTAACAAGAAATGTGTAGCAGTCATTGGATAATGTCATTTTCACTAGCTTGATCAGTGCACAGTTTATAAATATTGGGGGAAAACTAAAAAGATGAGCAGTAGACTAGAAAGTATCTCTCATCTTGATGGCATGGATTGTGTTATGTAATAGCAACTTAAGATGTAGTGGAGCTAGGAAGCTGTTACTTGGACAGAGAACTTGGAACAAGTGGACTAATGTGTAAAACATTGATATGCAGGATATATTAATAGGTTAAGACATAGTATGTTAATCCTAAATGTGATCAAGATGGTGACTTAACAAAAGCTATAATAGATTAAATATGATTTATATCCAGAAATTCTCCATGTCAGAGAGTCTCTTACTGAGGAATGTCTTCCCACCCAACCAGTTATCACAAGTGTGAATAATTACTGCATCCACATTTGCAGGCATACTCCTGTGGAAGTTTAGTTGACAGCTATATGCATTATTTATTTTACAATTTCATTTTTGTATATCTTACATATTTTTTGTAAAATTCACTTTAACTTGAACGTATGTTCATTTCCCCTATTTAATTAATAGACTGTGTGTATACACACATCTATGGGATATAGGTAAATGTTAATGTACTAGCAAACAAGAGAATTTCACATTGGAATATATAGTGGTTTAAAAAATTGAACACCTGCATATATATGTATGTGTGTGGTTTACTGGTTAAAGAGAAGGTATTGGACAATTAATTATCCATTTTGTCAAAATTCTTTTAGTTTTTCCTACAGATTCATCTAAACTCAGATACTGTTGAGAAGAATATATTGACATGGAATATGTTTTTTTTGTTTTCATCTCTGCTTTAGATCTTAACTGTGTAATAAATATTAAGTCATAATCTGTTAAATTTTAAAATTTGCCAGCCAAATGTTAGATGAAATGTCTGCACTGTAGTTTCTAATCACTGTCACATATGTAATAACGTTTTCATTTGATTTGTAGAAGAGCTTTATAGTAAGAAATACCAGTAAACAACTTTTATACTATTAAAAGGCTTTTTGCCCTTCCTACATATTTTAATTGTACCATAATATTCTACCCACTGAAGAAGTTTCTTTTGGACCTTGCAACTTTGTTGCTAGCTTGAGGTTGATTATTGTGGTTGTATTGTTCACTGTTTGTAGAACTAGTCTGAGTATGATTTAAATAGATTGTTCAGTTTTTAATATTAGCCATAGCACTGGTTAGTATCTCAGTAGTTTCATGAAACGTTTCCTGTATTCTAATATATTTTGAGAAATTTTGTGGTCTTTATTTTTAATTGCGTCTTACAGTTCAAGTTTTGTAGATTTTAATAAGCAACAGTTTTTAAAGATGCAGTAATCTTCCAACTAATATTTATCCATCTTTCATGAACCCACAAACTGCATCTTTAAATCCATAAATAAGTTTCCGTAAGTATCATACTTTTCTGATCTTTCAAGTTCAGTGATAAGGAGGAAGCACAAGAGAACTTTTCAGTAGAACACAATTTTTATTTTGTAAACACTATGGTATTAAACTTGCTATACATTAAAGCAAATAATATATATTTTTATTTGAATTGTATATATGAATTAGATGTTCTAACTAGTTGATTTTTTTTCATTATGTTAGAGGTATTTTCACTGAACAAGGTCAATTGATTACCTCAGTATTACAGCCAATATAGTCCAAGGGATCATTTCCCCCCATGTCTGTGTTATATTTTATTATGTGAAGTCTGCATTCTTGTGATTTGTAAAGCTGTTGGTAAGATGGGATGAGTGCACTTGCTTTCTGTGGCAATAAAGATTTTCTGTGCCTCACATATGTTCATAGCACTTTCTGCATAGTAATATTAGCCTGTTCTGCCTTTTGCTGAGCTTGAATGTCAGGGAACAGGAGCTTTTGAATGTGATTGTCAGCTTCCTTCATTACTAAACTATTGTTTGGCAAATGATAAAATCAGTTGAGTGGTATATCAGCAAAGTTACATTATATTGTTCTCATGTATGGGAAGTTTACACGACATTAAAAAAACTATCATTTCTAACCAGTTTAATTTTAATAAATAAAAGACATTCAGTAGTTATATTACATATTTGTAAAGATTCATATGATTTGGCCTCACTATTATAAGCTAAATATATGAAATTGAGGTATCTATAGTGAAGAACAGGCAAAAACATTGCAATGAGGTTTTAATTGATGTGTTTCATAAATTAATCTTTGATGAAGAGATTTCAGTATGTCAGGTGCCTGATAAGGGTGACCACCACAGAAAAAATATACTTGTTCTTTATTAACTCAGGACCTATTTGAGTGGGAACTAATACCACTCAAGTACAAATGCTAGTGTTATAAAATTGGAATAAATAAGAGTTGACATTTAAGTGCATTCTGTTTATGTAGGCCTGGTAATAGGCACTGGACAGGTAGAAATGAAGCACATTCACTGAAAGATCATTTTGTTTTAAGTGAGAAGCAAAGAAAAAACCAGAAAGTACATTCAGCAAGTGAGCTGCAGAATAGATCAACCAGGACTGAAACAATTAACATCAGAGGTCAGATACAATATAAAGCCATTGTGATGGTACATTTCAGTTTGAAACTGCTCCCCCTCACAGCTGACATTGTATACACGAACATCTTTAAGTGGCAAAATAAAAAATAAAACCCCCACAATTTTGCTTTTTCCTTTGTCCTTAATGAAACTTCTTGGGTTAAAAAAAAACAAAAAACACTATAGAATTTGTTGATTTGGGGGCCTCTAGGAGACTACAAATTAGTGTCCCTTTCCAATCGTATAGCTGATAGTATATAAGCTTTAACACCTTAATAACCTAGCATATGCTCATACTCAGTTGGTTACGTGAAATAGATATCAATACTCATTTTTATGACTTCACTTAATATTGCATTGAATTTTCAAAAGAAAACAAAAGTGTTAATCTGATGCAACCAGAAGGTTTGTCTTTTTTAGAAAGTGAATTCATCTAGTAAATAGCTGAAGTTAGAATTGAGCAAACATTTTGTGTTTGTAACAGCTTGAGGGATATAACCAAATATAATAGTTGATATTTAACTAAAAACTCCCTTATGGTCCAGCAGTGCATGGGTGGTGTTTCAAGGAATACAAGAGTATTTATTTGTTATTATCTGTGGGTGTCCTCACAAATGAGATTCTTAGGTGGGCCTCTAAATAAAGGAATGATCCAATATGCTATTATTGTTAATGGAAATACAAAGTAATCTCAAAACTTTGATGTTAACTATTTCATTTCCTTAATGACCCTTTAAGATACTTTTTATTTATATCAAAAGCTAAGCACTGGATCTAGGAGTTTTCTTTCTAAGCATGTTAATTTTTTTTAAAGTTTTTATGGCATACAAGAATGAAGAAAACATTACCTTAAAGATATTTTTGGTTCTTGTGCAGAAAATTCTTGGGCTGGGAAGGTGGCTCAGTAGTAGACGCTTGCTTTGCATGCATGAGACCCTATGTTTGATTCCTCAGCACTACATAAGCAAAAAGAAAAAAGCCGGAAGTGGCGCTGTGGCTCAAGTGGTAGAGCGTTTAACTTGAGCTGAAGAGCTGAAGGACAGCACCCAGGCCCAGGGTTCAGGCACCATGACCGGACCCTCCCCCCCCCCAAAAAAAAGGAAAAGAATACTGGGATTGGGAAGGTGGCTCAGTGGTAGAGCACTTGCCTTGCATGCTTGAGGCCCTGGGTTTGATTCCTTAGAAAATTCTTATCTGAAGTAATTTTTTAAAGTTCATATTCAACTTATCAAAGTTAGAATCCAAGAACTTTTTAAATTCAAGTTATAAATCTTTTTCTATCTGTAAGTATAGCAAAATGTTGACAGTCACAGTTTTAAAAGTCAGATAGAAAGCCAGGTATTGGTTTCATGACTATAATCATAGCTATTCAGGAAGCTGAGATCTGAGGGTCGTGGTTCAAAGTCAGCCAGGACAGGAAAGTCTCTAAGACTTTAAACTTCAAATCAGTAAAGTGAAGTTGTTGCTTAAATAGTGCAACCTTTTTTTTTTTTTTTTTTCCAAAAAGCTAAACAACATCCAGGCCCTGAGTTCAGCCCCCAAATCCGCAGTACCAGCACACACAAAAAAGAAGAAGCTATAAATAATGACTTCAGTACAAAACGTTTCCATTACAAAATTGTTCATAAAAATTATTCGCTCATATTTTTTTCCCATACTTTAGGACCACACAATTCCTGTGTATTAAAACAATAGTCTTTTGAATTCTGAGTCTCCTGGCTGTTTCAAAATTTACAAGGTTATTTTGACTGCGAAGTGATTTACTTCCAAAGTAGTGCTCTAATGTGATGATAAAGGCCAACTGGTTATCACTTTATCTTTAGCCAAAGGAAGGTTTTTATATTTCTCTTGCAGTTGGATCAGAACTTCAAATATAGACCATTAGAAATGAATCACAAGATACTAATTTTGGTTTTTACTTCAACATTTGAAATACTTAGTTGACATAAATTTTCCATGCTTCAAATTTTAAAATATTCAATTGACAAAAGTTGTACATATTTTAAATGTACAACATGGTGACATAAATAAACATACAATATACTGATTACCAGTCTCAGACACCTCAATGAGAAATGCCTTTTAATTTTGCTTGACTATTTTATACACTTTACCCTTATTAAAATTTAAGATGTTTTATTAAACTGTTTATACACAGAAAATCTCATCTACATTGACAGAAAAAAAACTAATAATTGTTCTAAGTTCCAGAATTTTCTGCCTTTTAAACTTGTATTTAACTTCTATTTAAGTTTTTCATTGTGTCTTAAAACATTAGATCTCACTTCTTGAGAAGTACTAGTTGAATGCTACCAGTGAATCATGATTTAAAACTATTACTGATCTACAATTTGATAGTGCCACACAAATGTTAAAAATCACAAACCCAAGATTTTCCCCATCAATTATTAAGAGTGGCAAATGTGAGATTCTTAGTAGTCAAAATGATTTGGTTACTAACCAAGGCAAGTTTTGCTGTGGCTGAGCCCCAGAGGTGATATAAATTAGATTGTTTCATATTTACACATTCTGAAACCTTGTGAGTCATCTTTGCGTTAAAAGTTTGCACCTTATAAATTAATGTTTAAAAGTGCCATATGCAGATCAACACCCACACAGTCCTAAGCAAGCCAAGCCATACTTCTGTCACTCATTTGGCAGGTCACTTAGGTTTGAGTATGTAGGAAGATAGTGCCTATGTAAGTGGAATCTTACCATTAACTGGCTCAGCAGAGGCATTTGATAATTTTCTAACACTACCTGCCATCTTCAGCTTAAATGTTAAACCAAACATCTGTGGTCTAGCACCATACCCTGCCCTTCCTTCCCAGAAAACAAAGCAGTTTCTTTGCTAGTATGTTCTTACACACAAGGTCTCCAGGGTCTCAATGTTCTAGTTGTATTTTTCCCATAATACATAACTCCCATCCTCAGTTCCCTGATAACGTAAGGATATTTTCTATCAGTGGAGAATGGGAAGCCACACTCTAAAACTCCTGGAAGAACAGTACTAAAATTCAATATATCTAGCTTAATTAAAATGTATACCTTGGATCTCTACAAGGGGGGAAATTTTTTAAAATAAGACTAACTCATTGTTTTCCATTCTGAATGTCACCAGTGTTTTCTATCATCAGAAATATGTCTATCAATTGTATGACTTTCTCTACTGAATATCACCTAACTCAAATGAGACTCTGATTTTTACTGATGGATGAGAAGGTAAAAAAGTAGCTGTACAACAAAATGGACAGGTGTGTATCAGATATAGCTAAGTACTTGAGTTCTTACAATATAAGACAATTTCCACTTAAAATTAACATTGGGAGTGAAAAATTGGAGGCTGTATTAGTTTACTCAAAGAGTAGAAAATATTTATTGTAATATTTGAGAAAAGGATTCCATTCCCAAGACCCTAAGCTTACACATGATACTTGGCCTTTGGGATAAATGACTTTTTTCATGATCCCTTATTAACAAGATAGGTATTACTTCTTCCTTATCACCTAAAATGGAAGCTAATATTATAGTAGTAGTTACAATAGTGCCATATATGAAATTCATTTCCTAGCACTGGGCCAACATTTACACTTACTCTCTTTGCAACTTTAGCAAATCTTATCACTCCCATTTTGCAGATGAGAAAATGGGCACATCAAGAGATTAGGACTAGTTATATGGCAAATAGGCATGAACTGAACATGTACAACCTAGAATGTCAAGTATCCTGTAAGTCTGCATTTTATGTGGAAATTTTACACAATGAACCTTTTACAAATAAAAGTTGAAATACACATGTAAAAACAACTAGGGTATATGTCTAAATGGTCATACTGATTATTGTGTATTGATCAGCTGGTTAATTGTTAGTGGTGTCTAGATTTTCAGCAGAGGCTTCCTAACAGAAAATTCAAAAAAGTAGAAACATCTAGAAAAGAAGATGCTTTGAAACAATTATTTGCTTTTTGTTTAATTTGGGAATCAATTAGAAATATTTCACAAGAAGACTAAAATGGTCCAAAGGTGTTTGGAATATAGTTCCAAAATAATGCAAACTATTCTTAGTTCAAGATGTCCTAAGAACCACCACAGGGCTTAAGTTAGACCCTGATGTAGAAGGATTGGGCTATGTGGAGGGAAAGTGACAAGCATGCTCTTGTCCAGCCATTGGGTGTTCAAACTGAATTCACTTTGTACTGTGAAAATAAGGATCTGGGGGAAATAGAATGGACATGTAATTCAGTAATTCATTTATCAAACCTTTG